CATCTCAAGGGCCACCGACACAGGAAAGTTCCTGAGCAGGCCTCCAGTCAAGTCGCCTGGCCAACTCTATTTAATCCAGCATTCCTCAAGATACTTGAGAAAGGAGCCCATTTGTTTTTATGAAAAAAATCATTTAACATCTCACAAGACGGGTATTTCTCATAACACGCTTTGCAAATACGGCCTCCGAGCTCGCTCCTGAGCTGACCATAAATGGTCTCTATAATTTGAATTTGTCACTCATGCTCCCCCTCCTCCAGCTTGGCTGGAATTCTTACGGCTTCCATACACCCCCCCCCCCCCACTCCCCTTCCTGCCCACGCACTCCTGCTTCAGCTATAGAAAGAAGACTTCTGTGCAGGGCCCGGAGCTGGTGCTCCCTGAAGCCTCATTTCCCTTCCTTCGTTACTGTCCACCCGTGCATTTTACCTCAAGGGATCACCGTTATGGTACCCGTTCGTGTCTTGCTTCTCCTGCCTAACATTCTTTTCAGAAACATGGTTCTACATGTCAGGAAAGACCAGGGCTACTTACAAATGGCTCTGTGGCTCTGTGCGTCACAAACTGTTTATTAGCAGTCCTAGATGAGATAAGAAACTTGCTCGTACATTAGCTATATGGGTAAGCGCCCCATTTCACTCAGCTGACTAATTTTTTCTTGCCATACAGTCTCCATATTGGAAGCCATGGACAGACACACGTACGGGCTACACGGTCTTGATTGTGGATGGAAACTGTGAGCAATTGGTGGGTTTGGCACTCCTCTCGACTTTGCCCATCAGAGTTCTAACAATTATTTGGTATTGTGTCTCCTCAACACCCCATAGTTCATCAACCCTATCCTGTTGTTGGGTATTTGGCCTGTTTCCAGGTCATTGTGACTAATAAAACCTTGCTGCAAACGGATATGTATGCATCCGTGTGTTTTCTTCTGTGGTTCCCTCAGTTTTTAAGGACCACGGATCTGAGGCCAGAAAGGTGGAGGGTCAGGAGTGGCACAGTAGGCAGGCCTCCCACCCTGGCCTCCTGACCTGTGGCCCCTTGTTCCTTCCTCCAGCCCGAAAGGCCCTTCCTACCGCGCAGATTTTCCATCGCTTTCATGCTTTTCTTTGCTAGGTTATGAGGTTTCTACAGTGTTCCCACATGTTGTCTTTGGGAGCTTGAGAGAAATCCTTTTGGAATGTCCTGTGCCTTCTCCCTCCGAGTTCCCGGCTTTGTTCAATTGTTCACAATAAATTCCTGCCCTGTTGGGAGGGGCCCAGGAGGCTGTTAAGTTTGCCAAAAATGGTGGTACCAACTCAGGCACGGCACATGTCTGAGGCTCTTTGCTTCTACTGAGATTTCACCTTAAAAGAGGGCAATGTGGGTGTAGTTGTGGGGGCAGAGGGGACCTCCCTCTTCTAGTTTTCTGCTCCCTATGTAGAGTCAGCAGAACCAGTCAGGGGCAGACAGAAAAGACAGTGAGGGGTAAGGTGGGCCTGGGGAATGGGGTAGGGAGTGGGGAGGGCTAGGGGGTGGAGAGTAAAGTTCATAAGGTTCAGAGATGGGGAAAGGTGGGTGGGGGAGTGAGGGTTGGGAGGAGGACGGTGTGTTGCTCCAACGTGCACCTTGGCAATATGCGTGTATTTTCTGGAATCGTAGAATGGTGGTATCAAATTATCTGTTTGAAAAGGGCTACGCCAGATTTTTTTTTAAACATACAAAAATAATTCTAATGTCACGCACCTATCCCCAGTGTGACCCAACGATGCAGGGACCAGTGGATTGGGCGATGGAGACCACAGGTAACCTTTGAGGAAATTTCTCCCTTCGTTTCTTATTTCCCAAAAAGAACATATACCAGGTTAACACTACTCTGTTCAGAACACTGGTGTTGAGGGGCAGCCCAAACCCCTGGAGTTAAACACCACCCTTGGTTTGTCTAATTTACTGCATATTTTGGATACCAAGGTTTACCTCTCTTTCTCTTGGAGTCCATTCAATAAATACTAAGGAAAAAAGAGATCGGGAGAGAAAAGACATTGGCTGAGGGTCAGAGCCCTGGATTGGAATCCCTGCTCTGCTCCGTGCCCGTTAGAGGAGCTTGAGCATATCACTTTTTTCCCCTCTGAGCCTCAGTTTTCCCCTCTGCAAAACAAGGTGCTAAAACTTAGCCTCGTAGGGAGCAGAGAGGGCCGAGAGCCTGTGTTTCAGGCCTTGGCAGCATGCCTGGAACCTAGTGTGGGTGCTTGAGAAATGAGGTACGCGTGCAGGCGTGAAGGACTTTCCGCTCCCCCCTACCCCCAGCTGCAGGGACGCCTAGCTTCTTCTCTATACAAGCCGGACAGCACACTAGGGCCATGGCACTGTTCTGTTGCCAGCATGCCGCTTCCTGTTTACATGGACCTCACAGATGCATGGCTTGAACAGTGGACATGGAGGCCTTCCTGTGGCCTCTGCATGGCCACGTGGAACAGAGCGTCTGCTCTAGCTACGAGCTATATTTTCTCTGGACTTGGGCTAAGTGACTGCTGCAAGGGACTTGGGAGCCGTGAGTAGCCAAGTAAATAAATACTAAGAAAAAAAAGCAATTTGGGGGGCCCAACACAGAGATCCTGTTACTTGCATGTACATCCACGCCCCCCACCCAATGGTCAAACTTCATTTGAGCGCTGACTATGTATGGGGCTCGGCAAGGATATTTACCATTCATTGGGCACCCACAGTGCACATCTGCAAAGCACCCACTACTTGCACGATGTTATAGTCATTATTGAACACCTACTGTGTATGTAATGGTCTAGAATGACTCTGCCATCCAGCTTTGGAAGAGCTGCTGTGTTGGATGCACTGTAATCATCTCTGTCTTCATCATTTATGCCTGACCTCTCTCCCTCAGCTTTCTCATCCATGCGATAGGGACAACAATACCTTCCTTGAAGGATTCATGTGGGGATTAAATGAGTTGATATATAGAAAGCACTTAAAACAATGTCTGGTGTATAGTTAGGAGCTTAATAAATGTTGGTCACCATCATGAATAGTTATTAAACAGTCATTGCATGGAAGACAGTCTAACTATCCTCCAGGCAATAATAGTTACCACTGCTGAGCAACTCTTGGGGCACACGGCCCTATAATTACTAACTGAGCTCCTGTTGTGAGCCAGAATTGGGCTAGACACTGGAGACCTTAAGAGCAGTGTCCTAGACAAGGATCTTCCGCTCCGATTAGGGGAAATTAAACTGTTTTCGAGGTGGGCATCTCCAGGAGAGTCAGGGATAAATCTTATGCAAATATGGACCTAGAGCAGGAAGGGGATGGCTTTGAGAGGCCAGACAGAGGATCTGGCAACCAGGACACCCTCTCTTGAGTCGGGTCAAAGCAAATTCTAATAAGCTGTATTCCTACAAATGTTCACATAAGGAATGGGTCTCTTGGAGAACTGAGGACCCACCAGACAAAGGCCAAGGTCTTCTCCTTCAGGAGGAAAGGGATACAAGAAACAAGGAATATGTTACACTGCTGAGTTTTGGACCCAGGGAAGATATCCCCTGGTTTCCAGAGATGAAATAGAAGTGGGGGGAGGGGAGAGTTCAGTAAACTAAGGGTTCCATAACCCCTTCTTTCCTCCACTCCTGGGGAGGAGGCCATGGTGACCTCATGGTAGGGATAGTCAGGCTTCCCACTTTCTCTGTTTGGCCACAGAGCTGGGCCAGAGCAGGCCACTCCGTCCAAGAGTCATGGAATCTTGTGGAACTGCAGGTTCTGCATTATTTCAAGGTCAGCCCCATTCCACTCTCTGACCTGCCATTGGCCCTCATATTTCCAAGGAGACAGGAAAGCTCTGACAAGAAGGGCCTGGCCCTGAAGTTCAGAGCCACACAGAAATTGCCCTGAGGCCTGAAATGGGAAGCTGGCTCAGGACTCAGGAGGCCCGAGTTCTTGAGGGCCAAGAGGGTGGGGGGACACTCTCGATTCTCAGCCCAGGCCTGGCTTGGGTCTAGGAGGACAGACTCAGAAATATCAGAGTCTGGGCTTCTTAGAGCCCCTCAAAACTACGCTACTCATTTACAGAAGGAAAAACAAGCCTGGGGAGAGAAAGTGATATACCCAAGGTCCCACGGTAGGCTAGTGGTAGAACCAGGCTAGAATTCCAGTCTCCACTGTGCCTTAGCCAGCGGGATGGTGGAGAGCTGGATGCCTTGTGGCCTGACTTCTCAGCACCCAAATCAGTTCAGCCTCTGAAGGTTTGGAGCCCTTGGTAGCCCAGGGAACATTTTCTCAGACATGTGCTGCGAGAAACCTGGGACCTCCTCACTCTGACCTTCCAGCCCTCTGGCCTGGACAGAACCATTTTTCGGAGATTTCCCAGGAAGGGCAGTCTCTCCAGGGGCAACCATCCCTGGCTGACCCTCCCACTCGCCATCCTAAAGTGTTTCCTTACATCCACCCTAATCCTTGGTCATTAAAACCATATCCTTAGAGGAATACATGAAAAGCATTTAGAACAGTGACTGCTGCATCGTTAGTGCTGTAGGAAGTTCTGCTGTAATTATCCATCATCATCGTTTCTACTCACATTGGGCAGTGCTGAAATGAACACCAACCGACAATCCTGAAATCAGAAGAGGAGGAGTAGGGTTTGGGAATGAATCGCTAGTCTATTTCTTCCCACGGGGAAACTCCCCGCTGACCCACTCAAGATATAAACCAGAGATTCCAAACCGAGGCCTGTGGGCTTTACATCCCACCTGCCAGGATTTTTCTTCGGCCTACAGAGCGCTACGACATTTTTGAATTTGTTGTTAGCATCTAAAAATGAGATTCCTGGCTTCTCTTGAAAAAGCAACAACCCGTCAGAGAGCTGGGTTTAGAACAAGTATTTCCTCTTTACCCAGCCCCGTTCACCCATTAACTTCTACCTTCCTGGCTTTATAAGTCCTCCTTGAGTTTCTAACATCCGATCTAAACAGGTGTCACCACCCCGACCCCCAGCAGAGCCATGGAAGGAGCATGTTGCCACAATTTATTTTCTACAACTGTGGCCTGATGGACATGTACGCATTTCACGGTCGATGTTACCACCAGCTACAGGGTTTGGAGATGGGCTCGGGGGCTCTCCAGCCCGAGCGGATTGCCTCCCAGAACTTGGGCAGACGGCCTAAGGAAAAGATCCCGTTGCTGAACAAGGGCAGCTCGGGCAGCTTTGTGCCCGGCCTCTGGGGCAGCTCAGGCGTGAGTCTCTGGCTCTGAAGCCGGCGTGGGCAGCTGGTACTGGCGGAGTCATCCAAGCACCACAGAGCGTTGACACCCCTGGTGGACGGCACCATGCTCGTGCTGGTGCAGTGGTCGGAGGCAGCCACGCTGGTGACGGGAGTGGAGTAACTGCGGGGGAAGGAGTGGTCTGGGCTGTCCAAGTGGATGGAGGTGGCGGCGCGCTCCAGGTAGCTGGCCGCCAGCCTCGGCAGGCTCAGGGATGACTTGGGGCAGTGGGTATAGATGGCATTGGTGGATCTGTCAAGGTAGTTGATGCCTTTGATGAGTTGGTCCAGGAAGGTGGGGCTATAGGGGCCGGAGGGGCGATCGGTACAGAGCAGGCAGCTGGGGCTGCCGCGGCAAGTGGGCCTCCTGGACACCTTGGGGCGGTTCGCGAGGTGGCTGGTCTCTACACACTTGGAGTTGTAGGGGCGGCCCATGCAGATTTTCCTCACTGGAAGCCTGGGGGAGCCGGGGCTGTCGGACTGCTCAGAGGGGCTGCTGCATCTGCTGAACTCCGAGCCACTCGGGGTGCGGGGGCGTTTGAGACTGTTGGCCCGCGTCACGGTGGGGCCGTGGGGCCAGCGTGGAGTCTGGGCTGAGGAGGACAGGTTGTTGGCATGGCTCAGGCGTCTGGAAGTGTTGGAACGGCTCACCAGGCGTCCAGACATCATCCCCGCTGGGCAAATGAGCTTTGTGGCGTTGACCTGCTGTGAGCTCACCCGGAACCTGGCTACCTGGGCCTGGTGAAGACAGCTGGGTCAGCTCCACTCGGCTCCCTGCCCCTTCCCTGCAGGCTTTCTCGCCTGTGTTCCCTCTGCCTCCCCAACACTACCCTTCACCCACTCTTACTTGCCCTCCCGGGCCCAGGGATTTTTAAATCGGAAAACAGACATCCTAATCTTCAGAAGGCAAGATCCTGAGAACTAATGAGGCCAGAGAACCCTTAGGGAAAAGTGGGGCCATCTGCTTGTTCATTTAGCTCTCGCCCATATTCTGAAATTCCGATTTGCCTTTTAAGCGAGGACTCCAGAAGACCACGAAAGCCAAGAACTGAATCTCTAATGGGGAAATTCCAAGCACCGAGAGAGGGAGACACCTTCTTTCCAGGTAATATTAAATTGCTAATCACCAACAGCACAACACACCTGATACTAAAAAAAAAAAAAAAAAAAGAAAGAAAGAAATGTATCAGGGAAGTGATGAAATATTATAGGTACTCTCTCAGTGCCTGGCCCTGGGCTTGTGTCTTGCATGGAATTGTTGCTACAAATCAAGAAAGTGGTCACTATTCTATTCTTGGTTGACAGATGGGGAAACAGTCTCAGAGAGGTGACATGACTTGCCTCAAATTCCACGGCTTGTAAGTGGTGGGGGCAAGGTACTATCTTGGGTGTGTCTGGTGACCTCTGAAAGACTGTGCTATGTCGAGGTGACTTGGCTCCCCTCACAGTCTCTTAAGGAAAAGTTCTCCCTACACCTGCTCTGCTTGCTGGATGGGGGCACTCATGGGGAGAACCAGATGGACAGAGATGCTTGTTAAACCCTGTAGCTACGTTGATCCTGACTTTAGAAATCCCAAGTGAGAAGGGGGGGAGGTAGTATGACAAGTCTACCAATGGGGGCCCACTTGTAAGGTCACAGCCTTCCAGGATTTCTGGTCTTGACCCTTTTTGGCATTTGCAGGGGGTCCTCCTCATCTATTCTACAGGAGGAAGGGGCATTGGGATTCTTACTCCTTGTGGTCCGAATGTGAGTGCTTCACTGAGACTAAGGCCTACCCAGGCCAAGAAGCTGCTCAGTCCATTTAACCCCATCTTCTGTCCCAGCCAAGGCCAGTGGAGTCCTCCCTTCCTTGTCCCCATTGTCCCTCAGTTCCCCGATTCTCTCCTACCCCCAACCAGAGGGAAGGCTCTGGTTTCTCTCCCCCAGTACTGCCAGTTTTTGCTGCTCATTTTCCACTTCTGCCTCGTGAGAACAGAGCAGTATTCGAGTTTGTCCCACCCAGAAAACAGCTGCCTGCCCCTCTTCCGGCCCCCGGCCCTCAGCTGCCCCTGTCCTTCGGGTCTGAATCCAGTGGAATGTACAGACCCTTCCCTCTTTCCTTCCAGGTCCAACCCCACCCTGTCTCCTCCTCCGGAAATATTGGAGGTGACTGAGGGCTGACCCCCAGGGCCCCACCCTTCCCTCACTGGCTGGCTAGGCCCCATCTGCCATCAGGGCCCTCTCCCACACTTACTCTGTCTTTAGGAGGTAGATGACTTAGCCCTCCTGTTGCTCTCCACGGGGCATACCTTCATGCCGCCACTCCAGACTGCTGGCCATGTCATAGAGTCATGGAATCCTAGAGCTGGGAGGGGCCTCCAGAGGTCATCCTGGCCAGGCCCCTGCCTCTGGGCCCGCGTCACTCTAAGCCCTCCAGGACAGATGGGCCCTATTTTTACAACGGGACTGGGGTGGATGTTTTCCAGCGTTCCTTGTTGTTTTTCTGGTGTTGAATTATGGGGAGAGTCAGAAATTTCTGTACTGGTCCTGATACAGCTCTGCTTGGCCGTGGTCGGCATCCGTCACTTCTCACTTCTCTTTTCTCACTGGCTCAGCAAACTTTTACTGAGTCTCCCCAGAGTGCCGCCACTTCAAGTGACCCATTCTTGAGTATAAATGCTTGATCTCTCCTTTCCCACTGAGGTCAGCGACCTGGTGTAGAGTGTCTCCTACACAGTGGGCTCTGGCCAGAGCCTGAGGACTCTTCAGCCAGCAAATCTCAGAAGCTCCGTGCCCTCCACCCAGCCCTGGTCCCTCAGGACAGATTTGCCAAGAAAAGCCTCCCTCCATCATGTCCTTCTCTCAAATATTAAAAATACGGTTTTACTTTCTATTTTGAAAAAATTTCAAACTTCCTGAAAACTCACAAGACTCCCATGTAGTCCTCATCCAAATCCATAAATCATTAACGCTCTTGCCACGTTTATCACTACACACACACACACGCACACACGCACACACAGAATTTTTATTATTCTGAGAGGAAGTTGCAGACAACTGTATCTTTTAGGCCTGAACACTTGGACATGAATCTCCTACGTGCTCAGCGAACAGGGACATTTTCTTTCTTGTTTTTTTTTTAAGTTTTAGATATTTATTAATCAGGGTAAACCCCAACATGATACCTCAACATGATTTCATGCACATAGAGGGGAAATATTTCCTGGACGAGCAGAAAGTTGTGCAGATGGTTCCCGGAAGACTTTCCTTCTAAGCAGCTTTATAGTGAAACATTTCATTTAGAGGTCTGGACCTAAATGTTTAGTTTGCTGTAATCTACATTCATTGAGTAGAACTTGTACTGATCACAGGGACCCCGTTCATTCCAGGATTCTGGGTTATTACTCCTACCCGAGCTGACATCCGGATTGAACAATGGCAGGCACAAGATATAAGAGCGTGGCTCTGGTACCCCCTTGCCAATAAAGACAAAGAGGAGGATCGAGCTCGAATGCTTCATGGCCTGACCCAGGATCTGGCAGAACATAATCTCGGCAGAGGTCGCAGGGCCAGGAGAAGAACAGATCACATCTGCGAGGTCCTGGTACAAAGTCGTCCCTACACCGAGGACCAAGGGACATCCCGGACATCTTCTCATGCTTCCACACTACAATGACCAAATGCAGGACATTTGGCCGTGGGAAGGAATGATCATCTACTACATGGTCCATATCCACATTTCACCAATTGCCCCTCGGGCATTCTTCGTGGCAATTCTTCTTCCCATGCGAGCCTCAAGCCAGGAGCATGCATGGCCTTTGTTCTCAGGTGTCTTTGGTGTCCCTCAACCCAGAGCAGCTCTTCAGCCCTTCTTTGTCTTGGAGATCTGGACGTGTTTGAAGAACGTAGGCATGTCGATCTGGAGAGGGTCTGGGTTTAATCGGATGTTCCTGAATGATCAGACCCAGGATTGTCATGTTCTGTGACATGGAAGGCACTGTGTGGGTCCTCCTGAGCCCAGAGCCATGGAGCCTTTTTGCCCTGGGGTAGGATGGTTGTCATTGCTGAAACAGGGAGCCAAGAGGAGGGATCAGAGGGCCCTCCAAGGAGGTAGAAGAGAGGTCTGGGGGAACTCAGCGGACCAGGGGAACAGTGGTAACAGTTCCCTTGTGGGGCCTCAGCCTGGCCTGGATCTGCTCTGGGCTGGGGGCCGGACAGGCAGGCAGGCAGCCAGCGAGAGGGCTGGGCCTCTGTGCCATTTGTCCTGAAGGTACCCAGACATCGAGATCACTGGCCATTTCTGGCCTGGGCACTAAGAACCTCTGGAAATAGCCCCAGGACAATTATTTTAGGAGGAATGTGTTATTCCTCCATCTTCTCAGAAAGCCAGGCTACGTCCCAGAAGATCAAGACTGTCCCTCTCTGGCCTCCCCAACTCCAGAGGATCTCTAGCTATTCTGGGGGCCACAGAGGCCTGTGGAGCCAGAGTGGGGTCAAGGAGACTAAAAGCCCTCTCCCTGGGGTGGGGGAGGGGAAGTTCTGTTCTTGGATCCTGGGCTTTCAGGGACAGCCTTGAGTCAGGCTGGCTAGCTAGGGTCCAGCCGACTCCAATCCTGAGCCCCCCCCCCCCAAGGAGGGGGGTATGGGGAAGCCGCCTGACCTACCTCTTGCCCAGCCCCATCCCCAAGAAACTGACATGGGCGGGGCACCTGCTGGGTGCCAGGACCTTCCACCCTCTCATGTAATCCTTACAACGCCCCTAAGAGGTAGGTACTGGTTTCCCCAATGAGGTAATTGAGACACAGAAAGGGCAAGAGACTTACCCAAGCTCACCCAGCAATCAGAATTGGAACCTGGTGCTCTGGCTCTATCCAGAGGTGGGGGGGCACTCCTCTCACTCAGTGACAACACAGTAAGCTACCCTGGGAACTGGATGGTGTTGGGAGGGGTCCAGCCTGGAGACACAGGCTGGTGGGCAGCTGTAGCCCTGCCCCCATCCCCCAGCAAGTCCAGTGCCTCTCCCTCCCAGCACTGCCGGAATAAATGCCAAGATCTCAGAATGACCTGGGTGGGTACCCTGCACAGTCTCCAGCCGCAGCTGTCCCCACCCTTGCCCCACTGGATCCAGCTCCAACCTTGGCTCCTGAGCTCCATTACCAAACCAGCTGCGCTTTCCATCACCCCTTGCCCCTCCATCTCCCTCCCATCCCCCATCTTCCACCCCAGCAGCTCCACCCCTCCCCTCTTGTGTCCCACCATATCCATCAGGGGCCCTTACTCTACCCCAGGCATGAGGAGTCGGAGGGCGTCTCATTTCTCTGGGCTCTCCCAGAATGGAGGAAACAGCCTCCTTCTCAGAGACCTTAGAACCCTGCCCCATTTACACATCTGCTGCTGATTAACCAACCCCCGCCTCTGACACCCCCACCTGCCACTCAGAAGTTACCCTTCTCCCCGGGGCCTGAGATGGCAGGAGGGGTGTGTTCCCATGTCCTTTCTGTCACGTGGCTCCTGAAAGTGTCAAAAATAAGGAGCAAGTGAAGGTTGGCAACTCCGAGTGAGATCATCAGCAGTGGCTGGCGGGAGACCCCCATGTCAGTCCAGGGGACAGGGAGAGCCAAGGGCCATGACACTTTCTTGGCTGTCCCACTCTGCCTGGAGGATGTCTGTGCCCAGCCTCAGGCCACTATTAGCAGTGTGACTCACCTGAGCCCTTACCTGGCATGGGACCAGCTTGCCTGCAGGGCTGAAAATCTTTCTTGGGCTGGGTTCTGGCGCTCCCCTTAGCTACAGCCTTTCACCCACCCAAGCACAGTGAGTCACACACCCTCACCCCCAAACACCCTCAAGGCCCTCTTCTCCCCAGCGCCAAAACAGCCTTCCCCAGGCCCACATGTGGCAGGTACAAGCCGAGACAGATTCGAGCTCAGAAGCATCGGGGCAGGTGTGGCTTGGCAGGAGCCCCAGCCAACAAGAACTTCCCTCTCGCCAAGCCACCTTCAGGATTTGGGGGAAGAGCGGCCAAGGTAGGAGCGGACGGGGCTCCTGTCTTCACGGGGCCTGGGAAATTCCCTCTAAGGGAGGGGGGCAGTGGAGATGATATTCACATGTGGGTTTATCGACCACCTTGCTGGAAGAAGATGTAGGAAGTAGGACAGCGAGTAACTGGCTCATGCCGTGACCTCGGGAACGTGCTTGAACTTCTCTGTACCTCAATCTGCTGTTCTGTAAAATGGGCAGGAAGGGTCCTCCATGGACCTTGTAGACTGACTGGCTTGCAGGACGGGCTAATGTTTGTGACATGCCCTCGTGTGCTGCAGGCCTGGGGAAGCAGCATGGGCATGCCGGGGTCAGCTGGGACTGACTCACAGAGCTGATCTGTAAAGTATTCCAGAAATTGGGGATCGGGTTGTTAAATCGCTGGTAGCTTGAAATCAGCCTTGGGGGAGTACTCACATCTCGGGGATTGGCAAAGCAACACATCAGGTGTATTTCTTTGTGGGTATTTCCTTTCTGAGACCCAGCCCACCAGCCTACCACCCATCCCGGCTGCGCGACTGTGGCCCAGGGACTGAACCTTTCGAAACTTCTGTTTCCTTAGCCATAAAACCATGATCATAATGGCCTGTCTGTGTCTAGTGCATACTGTGTCCCAGCTGCTGTGTGTAACCTTCTGTATCAACTTGGCTGGGTGCCTACGTGGCTGGTTAAACCTTATTGCTGGGTGTGTCTGTGAAGATGTTTCTGGAAGAAGTTAGTATTTGAATTGGTGGGCTAAGGGAGGCAGACCCCAGTGTGGGTCAGCATTTTCCAACTTGTCGAAGGCCAGAAGAGAACCAAAAAGCTTGAATTTGTTCTCTGATGGCCCGCGTTGGGCTGGCAATCCATCAGTCCTGGTCCTTACACCTTCAGACCTGGGATGACATCTACGTGACTGGCTGTCTGGTTCTCAGGCCTTTGAACCACACCACCTGCTTGCCTGCGTCTTAACTTCCATGATTGCATGAGCCAATACCTAATAACAAATTTCTTCATATAGATATATATTTATATATATTTACATACCTACAGACTAAAAGTATGAGTTCCCCCAAAATTCGTTGTTTTGTTTTTTTTTTTAAGATTTTATTTATTTATTTGACAGACAGAGATCACAAGTAGGCAGAGAGGCAGGCGGAGAGAGAGGGGGAAGCAGGCTCCCTGCTGAGCAGAGAGCCCGATGTGGGCCTCGATCCCAGGACCCTGAGATCATGACCTGAGCCGAAGGCAGAGGCTTAACCCACTGAGCCACCCAGGCGCCCCTGAATTTC